TGGGAGTTGAAGTCCACCCATCTTCAAGCTGCCAAGGTTGAGAAACACGGATCCCACCTGTAACGACGATACAGCACAACATTCCAACCCATCCTTATTGGCAAATAGCAGAATTTTGCAACAATTTCTATTACTTTGGTAACTATGTCTGCCAGGAGATAGTTTTTATATATAAAAGCCATCAGGGTGACTTGGCTGAGTTTCTTAAAGGTGGGATGAATTATACTTGTCTGAACATCCGGACAACCCTCGCATTGTGAGCGAACACATCTCCGGCTTCACGTGGGCACATTTGGGGGGCACTATTGTGTCCACCCTCTCAAACTGGCAAGGGAAAGGCACTAAAACGGGTTCCGATCAATGCCCAGGAGCATATTCCATGGGGAAAAGCTCCCTGGAGATCTCTTAAGGACCAGTAAACCCTGAGGTCGCTCTGGAGGTCCCAATTCGATCCAGTTCAATTCCGTTCAAATCTTAAGAGCCTCCTCAAGTTTGTTCAAAGCCAAGAAGGGTCCAAACTTCTGGGGAAAGGCCACAGGACAGCCCTGTCCTTGGGCTCTTCCATCCCCAAGGAGACCTATACCCATCAAATATTACGAATGGAAGAAGGTGGGTTTAATTTCCATTCCCATTTAATGCAATCGATGATATGATTATTCCCCATATATTTAACACTTTTCTGCTTGGGCCACATTAATTTTTTTTTGGGTGTGTGTGATTTCTCCCAGCTGCTGTGATCTTTATTTATTTATTTAGCATTTGTATACGCATTTACCTCTTTTAACATTATGAGCTGCCAGAGTCAGGTATTTGAGGTGGGCAGCCATTCAAATCAAATCAAATCAAATCAAATCAAATCAAATCAAATCAAATCAAATCAAATCAAATCATAAACGTGATGGCAACCTAGCGGGGTCTAGTATTTGCAGGCAAAGCTTTGGGGGGGGGCATTTAGTCCTGGGTCTCAGGCCCTGTTCTGCAAAAGAAAGAGACAGCTCTTTACTCTTAGGTAAGACCACAAGGGGTTGAAGCCTTGCGATCACGTAGAACCTCTGGTGCATCTTCTCAATCTAACTCAAGCTCTGTTTCTCACAGCATCGTTAGACTGGGCCTTTGTGTTTCAGAATGGCCAACCGCGAGGGGGAAAAACCATCACCCCCCCCACTCACATCCCCGGCCAGCTGCGTGAAGAGCCTTCGGAACTGCCGCACTTCCTCACTCTCGTTGGCTTCAATGGTGGAAAAGTGGCTGCGAGGTGGCTGGGAGAGAGCAGAAGAAAGGGTGGGAGAGGCCCCGTTAAAGAAGAGCACAGGGAGTCCCAAATAAGCTATAATGGTCAGGCTGGCTCCTTGGTGATCTCTGAGCTTGAGTGTTTTCCTGCAGACATTTCATTGCCAAGCTAGGTAATACCATCAGTGCCTGGGGGAGTGAAGTTCTCTGGCTGTTTTAATACAGTAGCTTGCCCTGCCAGTCTTGGTTGGGGAGTGGGGGGTTCTTCCTTGAGAGTTTCTTGAATAAAATAGATTTTTCTTCCCTGATTGTTCATCTGGTGCTTCTCTGCATGTGGTTGCTGGAGAGGCTCTGCTCTGGGCAGCTGGTTTCCTTCCTTGACTTTTGGTTATGTCTTTTTAAATGGGGGGGGGGAGTCCCTCTCTCTGTGTCTTAGCTTTCTGGTTCAGTGCAGCACTTAACAAGGGGCTCTCACCCAGACCCCAGAATGAGCTCACACCTCCAGAATCTCAGCCCATAAAACAGAAGAAGACTCTCGAGGGCAACCGGCTTCACCAACCAGAGTTCACTGTCCTAGTTCTTGAGATTCAGCCTGGGAGCTGTTGGCAAGGAGGGGGAAACCTTTCCTTTGCCTGCAGGTAGCTGGCTTTGGAGAAAACACAACCCCCCAAGAGAGAAAGAACAAGGGGATGCTGTCCCCACCTGACAGGGGAGACTCAACTTCCTGATTGGGTCCCCCAGCTTTTCATTTCCAGGAAGCATTACTCATTTCCATCCTCATCTGTCTATTCCAGTGCTTCTCAACCTTGGCAACTTGAAGATGGGTGGACTTCATCTCCCAGAATTCTGGGAGATGAAGTCCACCCATCTTCAAGTTGCCACGGTTGAGAAACACTGGGATAGGCAGATCAACTAACTCTCTTGTAACCCTTTCAATGTCTGAATCTCTAGAAGTGGAATATCTCCACATTCCCAACTAAGTCCCCAAATATTCCAGCAGGTCTGAAAGCCTGACCATAATAGCCCTCAAGGGACTTATAATACTGATCTTAATTAGTTTCTGGGTGTGTCTGTAGTTGCGTCCACATACATCTTTATAGCCAAAGGGAACCATCATTAGGCATACTGCAGGGAAACCTATTCTGCAGAAGACGTGTCAGGTTTTAAGAGGGGAGAAGGCTCAATGAGGCTGGGACACCGCCTGTTGAGGATGACGACCCAGGGCCCTCCTGGGCTGAGGGATGGTGAGATCTGTGGCAGAACCTTTCCAGAGAACACCATGCAGGGGGGGAGGTAATTTACGCGATCTAAAATGTGGTAAACAGGTGCCCTCTTGAGATCTGGACTTCCCTTTCCATCAGCCCCAGCCAGGTGGTCAAAGGCAAGGAACTTCGGGGCTGGCAGTACTCGGAGGCTCCCAGCCTTGAAACTAATGGAAAGGTAGCCCCAAACGTTATGGTCAGAGACAGCTAGATTGCAACCCGAGCCAGTGGTCCTCTTCAAACAGGGAGGGGACAGAAAGAGGAAAGGAAATAACCCCCTGGACCGGACGAGGTTCAAAAACATGTCTGGTGGGACTTCTGAAGCACTGGCTAAAATTCTGTCATGAATGAAAGCAGCAGAAATTTATTCTGTCATGAATAAAGCCAACTAAAAAGAAGAGCCAGGTTGGTGTCCAGGCTAAGGCACCAGGCTAGAAACTGAGAGGCCGTGAGTTCTAGTCCTGCCTTAGGCACAAAATCAGGTGGGTGACCTTGGGCCAGTCCCTCTCTCTCAGCCCTAGGAAGGAGGAAGCCAGGGCAAACAACTTCTGAAATCTTGCCAAGAAAACTGCAGGGACTTTATTATCATTACTGAGAGCCAGTTTGGTGTAGAGGCTAAGGCCCAGGCTAGAAACTGGGAGGCTGTGAGTTCTAGTCCCACTTAGGCACAAAGCCAGCTGGGTGACTGTGGGCCAGCCAACCTCTCTCAGCTAGGAAGAAGGCCATGGCAAACCCCTTCTGAAAACCTTGCCTAGAAGACTGCAGGGGCTTGTCCAGACAGTTGCCAGGAGACAACACTGACTTGAAGGCACCCCCCCCCAAAAAAGTCAAGTCAAATGAAGGCAGATCCCCTCGACCCTCCCGGAAGAGACAAAAGGGCTTACCGGAGGCTCTGGGTTATACTGGGCTGCTGCTTCACTGGCAGGCAGGCAGGCAGGCATGGAAAGAGAACAGAGACATTTCAGAGAGGGCTCCTTTCTCAGAAGCTTTACACCGCTGCGACACATCCATACACAAGCAGGCTACGCAGAACAGCTCCAGCCTACCTTTCATCAAGGACAGTCGTTCACCCGAACTCCAAGCTACTCTTGCACCCCCAGAAACAAAGCAACCGGGCCTTGACTTTTACACACACACACACAACAGCTTCTACACAGGATCCTTGGCATGAAAAGTTTCATGGAATGGCTGCACCGCCCAAGCACACTTTTTCCACCTGCACGTGACACACTGTGCAGTTCTACTAATAATTCAGACCGTGCTTTCCCTCCAAGGCGCTCAGAGTCTGTTCCTAACATCTCCTTTCTTTTTTATCCTTGCAATAACCCTGTGGAGTAGAATTTGAACCCAAAGAAAGCAGTTGGTCATGGTTATTCAGGGAATGTTTGTCTGAGCATGAGTCCAAAAATCTCTGCAGCCCTACACTCACGGTATTATTCCTCCCCCGGCCCACCCAAATCCAGGATGAGATGTTTAGCACTGCAGTAACACGTATGTCCATACCACGGAAAAATACCCCATTGTACACATACCAACATTAGTTTTAAAAATCTGAAATGAGTTTTAGGGTAAAGGAAGTGCCCCCCCCCAAAAAACCCTACAAAAAGCTTATTGCTCAATCATGTTGCAGCGGGATTATTTACCTAAAAGGTTAGTAGGAAATTTGATTCAGCAGCGCAGGAAAAGGCAGATGTGAGAAAACACAAATGCATAAGCCCTGCCTTTCTCCCTCTTCCCCTTGGTAGGCCGCCTTTGTGCCAGTAGGCCGAAGATCTGCTGGCGTTAATGCTGCAGACAGCCTCCCCGGACTTGGCGTAAGTGAATGAGTTAATAACTGTTAATGAAAATGGTCTCTGCAAGAACCCTCCAGCCGGGAAGCAGAAAATGCTGGGGAAGACCTGGTGCAGGGAGGCAGAAAAGAAGATGAAACCCTCAGTCCCCACGGTTCTGTTCCATGGAAAAGGCTGGGAGGGAGCAACTGATGGGTGCTTGAAAAGCCGTTTTGCTCCCCCCACCCCATCTTCCAGCCATGGGGCTGCTTTTCAATTACCGGGTGAAAGATAACCATACAGAAACACACATAAATATAGAACACACAGAGAATATAAAAAGGAGGGAAGAAGAAACAGGTTTCTCTAACTCAGTGTTTCTCAACCTTGGCAACTTTAAGAGGTGTGGACTTCAACTCCCAGAATTCCCCAGACAGCCATGGGGAATTCTGGGAGTTTATTCATTCATTCTTTATTTATTTATTTATTTATTTATTAATTAAATTCCTCCCCCGCCGATCTCCCCCCAATGGGGGACTCTGGGCGACTCACACAAAACATTAAAACCATAAATACATAAAACATCAACATTTAAAAAACATTACTAAAAAAAGAGGAAGAGGAGAGTCCAAGAAGATGAAGAATCTGGGGCTGAAGACACACCTCTTCAAGTTGCCGAGGTTGAAAAACACTGCTCTAACTGATCAGGCAATCGTAGACAGGCACAAACCGCTTCCCGCTGCAGGAGTTATTACAGGAAATTATTACATGGGAACAGGTGGGAGGAAGAGGCAGCCAGGAAGTATGGCGCCCTACCCAGCAGTTTCTTCTGCTGCAAGGAACTCCCTGCATTCCTCTCTGCTGTTGTGCAGGATCCAACTCTGCACTCTTGTTCGAGCACCAAGAACAGAGGGAAATTCCAGAACCCCAGCCCCAGGTTGCTTATTTCAATGCAAATCTGGTTTAGCCCACTTCATCCCCGTGAACCGAGTGCGGGAATTTCAGCCTTCAGGCAGTGCTGACCCGAATTTCAACTTAGCATTGCTGGCTGCTTGATGGCATCCGAGTGCTTCACAAACCGGTCTGACTGTCAATAAAATCCCAGCAGAAGTTTCTCCTAACCGGGAGTGCCCAGGGTGGATGCAAGCAGACCGAGATGCAAAAATTAAGCACCTTGCGCAATTCACTCGGCTTCATTCCTAGCCCCGTTTCCTGAAAGACGCCGAAGTGAAAAGCCGAGGGGGTGAAAATAAAGGGGGAGCAACTGAGATGGTGGGCGAGGGGTTGCAAAGCTGCAGGGGTACCCAAACCCATCCAATGGATTCCTCACCCACTCTTATGCCACAGCTAATTTCAAAGGCAAAGAACAGGGCTGGGGAATCTGGTGACTCACACGTTACTTTCTTTCCCTCAAAAGATTAATCTAAGGGGATGCTGCAGTTCAGAATTATGGAAAAAGCATTTTGCACATGCTCAGAAGCCTGGCTTTTTATTAGTAGTATTTTATTATTCTTTCCCCTTTTCTAGGGTTGGGCACTGCTACTGAAATCAGGTTGTGTGTGAACCTGGCTAGGACGCGCCCCTCCCCATCTCAGCATGATTCTGTTGGAGAAGTCAGCTCTCGCCCACGGTGAGATACGCAGAGCTGGGCGTGTGAAGGGCAAGGAAAAACGTTCCTCTTGGCCCACAGAACCTGAAATGCAGTGCCTGATAATGCAAGTTACTAGACCATGACAGTTTTTCTTGAGCTACGTCTCTCTGCTTGTCACACCCTTATGGAGCATATCGGAAGAAAAGTGCCAACAATGGGTTTGGAAAGTTTCACTTCCTGGTGGCCTGAAAATTACTTCATGCTTACCAAGGGCAACCAGGAAAACAGCCATTTCCAATATTCTTATATTAGAATATTATTCTAATATATCATATAAATATACTGTATCATATAAATTAGTGTTTCATATCATATCATATAAATATATTCATATCATATAAATATATCATATAAATCAGTGTTTCTCAACGTTGGCCACTTTAAGATGTGTGGACTTCAACTCCCAGAATAATAATAATAATAATAATAATAATAATAATAATAATTATTATTATTATTATTCCCTGTCTGGGGGCCCTCCTGGGGACTACAGTTCCCATCAGCCAACTAGCAATTGGCT